TGTGCAGCGTGCAGTGTGCAGTGTGCAGCATGCAGTGTGCAGTGTGCAGTGTGCAGTGTGCAGTGTGCAGTGTGCAGTGTGCAGTGTGCAGTGTGTAGGGTGTAGGGTGTGGTGTGGTGTGCAGTGCAGTGCAGTGTAGTGTAGTGTAGCGTAGTGTAGTGTAGTGTGGTGTGGTGTAATGCAATTTAATTAGTGTAGTGTAGTTGTAGTTGTAGTTGTAGCGTTATGTAATGTATTGTAGTTGTAGTTGTAGTTGCAGTTGCAGTTGTAGTTGTAGTTGTAGTGTTATGTAACGCATTGGAGTCGTAGTCGTAGTTGTAGTTGTAGTTAGTGTCGTGTCGTGTCGTGTCGTGTCGTGTCGTCTGGTGTGGTGTGGTGTGGTGTAGTGCAGTGCAGTGCAGTGCAGTGTAGTGTAGCGTGGTGTAGTGTAGTGTAGTGTAGTGTAGTGTCGCGTGGTGTAGTGTAGTGTCGCGTGGTGTGGTGTAGTGTAGTGTGTAGTGTGTAGTGTGTAGTGTGTAGTGTGTAGTGTGTAGTGTGTAGTGTGTAGTGTGTAGTGTGTAGTGTATAGTGTATAGTGTATAGTGTATAGTGTATAGTGTATAGTGTATAGTGTATAGTGTATAGTGTATAGTGTATAGTGTGTAGTGTGTAGTGTGTAGTGTGTAGTGTGTAGTGTGTAGTGTGTAGTGTGCAGTGTGCAGTGTGGAGTGTGTAGTGTGTAGTCTGTAGTCTGTAGTCTGTAGTCTGTAGTCTGTAGTCTGTAGTCTGTAGTCTGTAGTGTGCAGTGTGTAGTATGTAGTGTGTAGTGTGTAGTGTATAGTTTGTAGTGTGTAGCATAGCGTAGCGTAGCGTAGCGTAGTGGAGTGGAGTGGAGTGGAGTGGCGTGGAGTGGAGTGGAGTGGAGTGCAGTGCAGTGTAGCGCAGTGTAATTGAGTGTAGTGTAATTGAGTGTAGTGTAATTGAGTGTAGTGTAATTGAGTGTAGTGTACTGTAATTTAGTGGAGTGTAGTGTAGTGGAGTGGAGTGTAGTGTAGTGCAGTGCAGTGGGGTGTAGTGTAGCGTAGTGCATTGTAGCGTAATGTAATTTATGTAGTGTAGTGTAATCTTATGTAGTTCTAGTTGTAGTTAGTGTGATGTAGTGTAATGTAGTGTAGTGCAGTGTAGTGTAGTGTAATGTCACTAGTGCAGTGTAATGTAATGTAGTTAGTTGCAGTTGTAGTTCTAGTTGTAGGTGTAGTGCAGTGTCATTCAGTTTAGTGTAGTGGAGTGTAGTGTAGTGGAGTGTAGTGGAATGTAGTGTAGTGTAGTTGTAGTGGAGTGTAGTGTAGTGTCATGTAGTGTAGTGTAGTGGAGTGTAGTGGAATGTAGTGTAGTGTAATGTACTGTAGTGTAATTGAATGTAATTGAGTGTAGTGTAGTGGAATGTAGTGAAGGTGTAATTGTAGTTGTAGTGTAGTGTATTGGAGTGTAGTGTGGTGTAGTGGTGGTTCTAGTTGAAAATGATACAAAACCGTCACGTTTTGCTCACTTTTGACAAGGTGCGCACAGTCCCTTGCGCCTGCCACGCGAAACGACATCTGATATCTCAACGTCGTGGTCCGAACCCCTGGTGTTTTTAACATTTTGACTTGGAAATGTGCTTCGCACCACAACGGCGTGCACTTTTTCGACATCTCAACTTCCAAAAGTGGTCCGAACCTGGTGTGCTTTGTACATTTTGACTTCGAAATCTGCTTCGCGCCACAACGGCGTGCACTTTTTCGACATCTCAACTTCCAAAAGTGGTCCGAACATGGTGTGCTTTGTACGTTTTGACTTCGAAATGTGCTTCGCGCCACAACCGCGTGCTCTTTTTAGACATCGCAACTTCCAAAAGTGGTCCGAACCTGGTGTGCCTTGTACATTTTGACTTCGAAATCTGCTTCGCGCCACAGCGGCGTGCACTTTTTCGACATCTCAACTTCCAAAAGTGGTCCGAACCTGGCGTGCTTTGTACATTTTGACTTCGAAATCTGCTTCGCGCCACAACGGCGTGCACTTTTTAGACATCGCAACTTCCAAAAGTGCTCCGAACATGTGGTGCTTTGTGCGTTTTGACTTGGAAATGTGCTTCGCGCCACAACGGCGTGCAATTTTTCATCTCTCATCTGGCCAGATGGCTCCGCACCCGCCGCTTTAGTGAGCCTACTTTTCGACCCTCCGGAGCCACAAATCATTAAAAACACAGTGTTTCGCGACTTTCCTACCTTTTCGCGCACCTGCATCTTCTTTCTTCTGACTCTTTCTCTTCTCTGATCTTCTCTCTTCTGCTCTTCTCTCTTCTACTCTTCTCTTCTCTCTGACTCTTCCCATCTCTGCTTTTCATCTGTCCATATTGTCGGAAGTTTGACTTCTAAACTTCCTTCGATTGTATGTGTATATATATATATGAATTATGCATATTATATAAACTGTATTGTATTATATATATATATATCATATTACATCACATTATATCATATTATATTATAATATATATATATATTATTATATCATATTGTATATATATATATGTATATATATATATATTATGTCATATTATATCATGCTATTTTATCGTATATCATATTATATATATATATTACATCACCACATCACATCACATTACATTACATTACATTATATTATCACAACTGACTCAAATAGACACATAATATGCTGCTTCGCATGTGCGTATGTGTGCTGATTTTGTGGTCCTAGACATAGACCAGGGCCCCAGGACACGCTGCGCCGAGATCTGCCAACTTTGACTGGGGACATTTCTGGGTGATTTCCTCTGGTAATCTAACTTGGCAATTGAAAATGGCCATTTATAGTGAGTTTTCCCATTAAAAATGGTGATTTTCCATAGCTATGTTAAATTACCAGAGGGTAGATGAGACTCCCATGAAATGTTCCATTTTTTCCATTGCCATGCTTGATCTCCACATTGTTGTTGGCACTTGTCTCCTCGTATTCCCTGGCAATTTTCCCTTGAACGGAAAGTTTTTGAAGGAACTAAAGATTTCCAGCAAATTGTCCCTTCATCAGCATCCCCTGTTTGTTGCGTGGCACCAAGGCTCATGGGTCAGTTAAGAACCCCCAATGAATCAGGTAGCTTAACACTAGTCCCCCAACAGTAACAGTTTCCAAAAACACTTTCTGTACTGTTTCCCAACCATTTTCCTAGCCTTCCGTACTGGCCTCCCAAAGCAGTCAAATCCTAAGAGTATCCAACAATAACTCGCCATTCTCAACAAGTTGCCCTCCTAACATAGATGTGGAGTTTACATGAGTTTACCCAGTTTACCCACCATTTGCAGATCATGTTCCTTCAGTTTCATGGCTTTCCACATCTTTCTGCAGACAACTGGACCAAGTCGCTGCCACAAACTTCCCCTTACAGCAGTCGAGGAGGAGTTTTGCCGCTGCCCCGAGTGGCGCCTGGGATATGGGTGGGTCTGAAAGTGGGGGATACCGGGATACCCCACAAAATTACCATTGAGCATGAGGAACATGATTTTTTTTAGCACAGAATGCTGGGGGTTCACTATTCTCAGATCAAACTATATGAAAAACCTATAGTTGCCCAAGGCAAATTATCTACACAAGGTGGGTTTTCCATCTCTGTCTTTGTTTATTGGAGGATAGCGCAGGGCCCAGGGCGCTTTTTGGGGTTTACTAAAAAAAAAAACAAATGGAGCAATTACGGTGGTTTAATACAAGGTCAGGCCCCCCAGTGATGTTTGTTGGCTTATGAACCAATGATGCTCTGGTTATATCCCCTTAATCAACCCTAGTTTTTACCAACTTCCGTGCGTCAACTTGGCTATTAGTGGTTTACTATAGTGTTTCTACTATATCCGTTCAGTCATTTCATCGTGGCATACTGTGTGGTCAATCGCCATGAAAATGTTGGGATTGGAAAATGCATTTGGCTGGGCGGAGGTAATCTTGAAAAGAGCAAGTCATGTTGAGTTGTTTAGAGGTAGTTTAAAAAAAAAAACTGTTCTTCAAAAATATATTGCATATATATATATATATAGGTATTGATATATATACATATATATACTTATATACTTATATATACATAATATATACATAATATATATATACAGTATATATATATATACAGTATATATATGTATACTTATATACTTATATATACATAATATGTACATAATATATATATACAGTATATATATATATATCACCAGTGATCACCAGTGTGTGTTTTGCCTGGAAGCTCCTGCAGGCAGAATTTCCATTGTTGAACAAAATACTCATCTCTTCTGCAGGACTTCGATTGCGTCAAGCTGAGATTTCCTGTAAGATTTCTTTCACATCGAAGTCCTTGTATCCTCACTGTTTGTTCAGTGTTCTTGCGTGCATCATATTTCTTTGGATTGAAAACCGTTGGTGCTACTGCCATGTTGTACGATTTCTCTCATCACCCTGCTTTGTTTCTTGCCCCCTGTTGCTAAAAAATCGCCCTGAACAGGGCATCATTTAAGCGTATGGCTAAAAATGAATTTACACAAAGGCCAGGGAGTGATTAGTGGCTCAACTGTGCTGATTTACCCTGTAAAAAAACGTGGAATTTCACGAGGCCATCAACCGACCACGTTTTAAGGTTGTAGAAAAAACAATCGTAGCACCATGAGGTACCCGAAATTTGATCATGTCCCCACTGCCACGCCCATGAAATTCTGAGGCTCTCATTTTCAGACACACCCGGCTTGCACGACAAAGTTGGTAAGTTTTACCCTGATATCATATCATATTGATGTGTATATATATATGATATCTCCTTGGTTCTTGCTTAAATCTCCATTTGCTTAAATCTCCATTGTTGCTTAGATTTCCCAAAAAAACATGGAATACATACTGTGAGTTTCCCACAAAAAAAAAACAAGTTAGTAATTGTCTCCATCAGTACTGAACCAACAAATTTTTGAACCCCCAGTGTATTAACCCACCAGTTAGTCAAAGATCCTGTGGAACCGTCCCATTTCGGGCCTGGCCGAGAGCTCTAACTCCACCAGTCCAGTGCCGGGAGCAGCACCAGCTGAGGCGGAAACCGGGGACTCCGGGGACGAAACCGGGGACTTGGGGATCTAGGCCTTCAGACACCCCCAGATCAAGATGTTCCTCCAAAACGAAAATGGCAAAACACGAAATCGATTCATCATGGGGATCAATCAATTCAATCAATTCAATCAATTCAATCAATTCAATCAATCACTTTGTGGGGTGTACACCAAAATGTGGGGAGGCGAATATCAGTCTGGTCGGTGCTTTCAATCCACAGATTTCTGGTCAAGATCAATTAGGATGTTATCACACAGACGTGGATGCGGTGAATGAAGCCATAACCTGGTGTATTCACAATGAACAAAAATATGCACTTAAAACTTGAAACTGCCAACCAAGACGGTGTGACAAACTGACCACTTTGGTCATTTTTACCCATTCCGTTCGCATCCTTTCGCTTCCACCATACTCGGACAGGCATTGCGGAGAAAATATATGTTGCAGCTTGAAGACTGCCGATACTTTTCCCATTAGAGGCGATTGGGAGCTCGGACTTTTTCAACGGAAGCCCTCAGCTTTCAACGTGAGCGACTTACATCCCTGGTACCCCGCCTCGAATGCCCTCTGACGGCCTTGCAAGCATCGAGTGAGGCTGGGATTTGGGTCCCTCGAATGGAGAGGACCTTTATCCTTTATCCTTTTTCCTCGGTAAATGAGGTGGACACACCCTTCCAAAGACTATAGGTGTGCCAAACTGTCCCTTGCACGTCGGGCACAGAAGCGGAGGACAACTGGGATGACTGGCTGAACAGGTCTCGATGGCCAAATTGTACCGAAAACATTGAAGCCTCAGTTTGCTTGGTTTCCCCATGATGGTCCCGTTGATCATCCAAGTTTATCGAAAACCACTCCAGTTTGATGGAAACAAATCACTGCTGCCCACCCTTGAGGATCAAGGCATTGCTCCATCTCCCCATCTCCCCCAATTTCTTAATCGGTTGAAGTAAAACTCTCTGCGAAATCGACCAGGGAAGTTTCCAGATTGTTTCGCCCGTTACACATCCACGTTGCCATCATTTTGTTTACCGTCAAAGCTTCATCGGAACCCAGGGCGCTGATCCTGCCTGCGCTGGCTGCGCCACCGCTCTCCCTGGGTGAAGATCTCAAAGAAAAAAAGTGTATCCATTGGTTTCCAACTGGCCAAAGTTCCAGGGTTTTCGTAGTGATGTTCCATGATTTCACATCATGTCCCATGGTTTTCTAGGGACATCTCTTGTTTATTGTTGTTTCATCATCAGCTTTTGGTGACCACCCGTCCCACGCCCCTCCTGCAAGGCAGTCGCAATAGTCGCCTGTGTGGATCATCACCCCGGGGAAGATAAGACATACCCTCCATCAAACGTGGCGAGCGGGAAAATCCGCTATAAATAAAGGGTTTTTTAATGATTTTAATGTGAAAATCAATGAAAATCATCTATTAATTTGGGATTGTCCAGCAAGCCATGTTTAGCAGAAGGTATTTCAAACCACCAATCAGTAGATCATTTCTTTCGGGGCAGTGACCATCGAAAAACACCTCCATGGGCGGCAACGCTCCCAACTCCGAGATTGCTGGTGCAGCAGCCTCCGTCGGGTCGTGAGGATGGGGGATGATCTGTTGGTTTCCAGTGGTTGGGGCTATTATAACTGTGGAAAATGGTCCATTTATGGTTTTCCGTTTGAAAAGGGTGATGTTCCATGGCCATGTTAAATCTTGCGGTATGCCCTCCTTTTTGGACAAAAACGTAAACTTGATTTTATATACAGTAGGAACCACTAAATCGATAGAAAAGGTGTTGCTCAGGGCGGTAGAAATGTCCATTAGCTTCACATCCCCATTTTTCTGGCGGAGACCCCTATATTTTGGCAGTGAAAATCTCGATCTATGTTGCTGGTAAAATGAATATATATCTCAAAATGTGCAGTTGTCAGGGTGTGTGTTGGGTGGGGGGATTGCAAGTTGTTGCTTAAAATCGCATTCACTCACCATCTCTAGCTACTGGTTTCAACACGGTTAAAAAAAATGCGCGTCAGTTAGGATCACAAATATCGGGTTGAAAACAAGAGGTCTTGAAATCACGAACCAGATATGTATAATGTAATATATATATATATCATCTATTATATCAATAGTAGATCTTATCGTCATCTATTATCTGTTTATATCATATAATTTTATATATCATATTTGTTGGTCATTTATGTCCCCATGGCCCTTGATGAACTCATCGTTTTCATTGGTTAACTTCCGCAACTAGCATCCCTCCACCATTGGTCGGTTGCTTCTGGCCTCAGCACTTTTGGGTGCAGGCCATGCACCCTTAAATCCAGGCAGCTTGACCTGCTGAAAACGTGGATCGGAATTAGGTCAGAATACCTATATAATGAGGAACTCATACAGTAGAACATCAAAGATCATGAAATGGTCAAGAATGGGTAAGTCAAGAATGGATCCATTCAAATGATAGGAAAATCATCCATACATGGATCTTTGAATGGGAAAATCATCCCATAAATGGCAGGAAATTCTAAACTCTCCTGGGTTCCCGCGGAGTTACCCCGGGGTTCCGCCTCCGCAAAGGATTCCCCAAGCGGATCCCGCCAGTTCTCGCCCGGCGCCGTGGCCGGTGGCCTTTCTGCGCCCTCTTTGGGGCGACGCGACGACAGGGCGGTGCTCATGGAGACGTCCTCTCCCTGCAGCTGGGGCGGATGTAGTATGGAGTCATGGAGATTTATAGAAAAAATGATTTAAAATGATTTAAAGTTTCAAAGCGTGGTTTTCGCGAGCCACAAAACTGCTGGTTTTTAGTGTCAGTTCCAGAAAAATTGTCAAGTTCAAGTTTTTGGATGGTCAAAACTATGTCCAAAACTGTGGCAAAATCTCGGAAACATTTGCCGCTTCGCCACCTGATCCTTCAACTTCTGCAAGACGTTGGCCATCTTTCGAGCCAAGGCTGAAGGGTACCTACCAGCAGCTTCCGGTTCTCATGCTGAAATGCTCTGTGACCACTGATTCGGTTCGGTCCCCCAATTTCTGGCCGAATTATGGAACTTCACCATATGATCATTTTGGGACGGTGACGTCGGTGAATGAGGTTGGTACAGTTCAGCCAAACCAATCCTTTTCTATACCCCTCTTATATCATCTTATATCTCCTTGTTAGTTATAATTACTCCCAAAAAACATAGAAGGTGATTTACCACAATTTGCTAGGATTTTGCTTTTCTATCTTGTTTATTCTTTTTCGGGATAGCTATCATCTGTGCTGTATCCCCTATCGTGGTTCACCGAGTCATTTCTATCACACCAGTTTTTCCCACATCCTCCGTGCACGTGGCCGCGAAATTGCCATCATTCTCCTCCGCCTGTGCTTTGGAAGTGCGAGGAGCACCTGGCCATCGAAAGATCCATGGCTTTGGGTCGTGAGATGGTCGGATTTGGAGGGGGTTGACCCTTTCTCGGTGGGATGGCTGGAGGACCACTTGGCGTCTCTCTTCGAAGCGCAACGCAGCGCAACGCTCCGCTTCGCAGCTGAAAAAAAACGATGAGTTGAAGCCATCCGGGAAGCCCATGAAAGTCCACCATGTTTGATGATTAAAACCCCCAACTTGAGGCCAAGGGGTAACCCAAGAGGCCAAGGGGTTAGGAACAAAAGCTACTGTAACAGGAGGCAGAGGATGGCAGAGGATGGCAGAGGGGGAGGAGGAGAGAATGAGGTCACCTCAGATTCATTAAGGTTCATGAAGGTTCCACTGCTACTGACGATGGTGTCTCAAAAAAAGCATCACTCCAGCCCAGCGGTGGGATGCGCCTGCTGTGATGTCTTTCACTGCTGAGGCGCGGCTAAGGCCATTTTGCCCATGACCGTTGAGGCCAAAGATGGGCGGCGGAACGTCCAGACCTGGCTTAAATGCCAAGAAATGTGAAGGGTTTTAGCATCAAAAAGGATAGCTCGGATAGCTGAACTATCAAAGATCGTGGCTGAGAGTTTATGTGTACTTACTGGAAAAAATGTTAATTTTTAACCATCAAACATCGGAGGTCACTGAGAAAAAAATGTGTTTTACGCATGACAAAATCCATATGTCACCCATCATTTATGAAGCTTAGTCAGCCAGTTTGCCAGGTAAGCCCCCCGCATCAAAGGCCATCTTCCATATTTTAGATACCTTCCAGAAAAAGACAAGGGATTTGTCTGTAGCATGGGCTACCCCAAAAAAATGAAGGTCCATCATGGTCCATCACAATCTTCCCTACTAAATAGGCCCATACCCACATGATATTCCTCGAACACTGAGTCTGGGTCTTGGTAAATGAATGATTCCCAGAAAGACGATAAGATGGTATACTGCGCCTGTTCCTTGTCTTGCGGTCTTCTGGGAAGCAGATACAGCACCTCCAACATGGGTCTGGTCATTGAAACACCCTGTGGTTCCCTCGGGAAACACTTTCAAAAATTCACAACATGAAACGATGTGAAAACCCAGTTCAACAGCAGTTTAAAAACCCGTGATATTGGGATACGATCCACTCGAAACAATCATGATACCGGTTCAGCAGATCTACATTTTTTGGGGCTGATTTGTTTCATCCAGTCAGTCATGATAACCGAACTAAAGAACTGAATATACTGAATGAGAGAAATTACAACGGCTTTCGGCCAGCACTTTTGGACGACTGTCCCATGGCGTGAATTCAATGCTTTCCAAGATGTTCATATGTGCCGTGGTCAACAGATGGATCTGGTTTATGGATGTTTATGCTTCATCCGTCCCAATAATGGGAATCCAAACATAATGGGTCTATAAATCCTATTATGGCAAGGGATTGATGGCCATCCACATTGGTATATGATCCAACTTTTCACCAGAAAAGATGGTCGACCAATGAACATTGGTGAGAAACCCTAGGAGCAGTTTTTCACCCCCTTAAAATGTGATGTTTCAACAGTTTCCAGACGTATAAGTTCATAAGCTACAAATGGAATCTGATCAATGTCCATATTATCAAGGTCCTTGTATACTGTATACAGTATATTGATATGCTTTTGTCTGAAAACAGGCAGATTACTATCATCATCATCATCATCATCATCATCATCCCCATATTTTCAATACATCAAATGGCCATCGGGGGCATACAAATATATACCCTCCGTTCATCAAACATGGCTTGCTGGAAAATTCCATCATCTGTCTGATGATTTTGCCAGCTCTCAACCTCCATTTCAAACCGGGGATTTTCCATTCCCAGATTTCATTCTCGGAGGGCACTTAGGGGTGCATCCCACTTAGTAAATGGGTTCTACATGCTATACCCCCTGTCATATATGGAATATCCATGAATATCCCCTATGACATACAGGATTACAAGGGTTATATATGGGTTAACCACGGATCCGATTCGGGATGCACGGAAAAAAACAGGCCCCCCGAGTCCCTTTCCCTGCCTGGTGCCGTGCTGGGTGGACCCGAGACACTGCCTCTCTTTCGGCGGTAACGGGCACCAAGAGATAGGAACCACATACTTTCCATTTACCCTCTGGTAAACTAACATAGCTATTGAAAATGGCCCATTTATAGTTGATTTACCCATTAAAAATGGTGATTTTCAATAGCTATGTTAAATTACCAGAGGGTAACTTCAGTTGTATCATTCCAGGACCTAAAGAGCTGATCTTCAGAACTTCACTGTGCAACTTATGTTGTTTTCGTCCACAAACCACAAGGGGGTGAGGGTTCTTCACGGAAACACGGGGCAAAACGATTTGGACCGCAAGACACTCAGCATCTATGTGGTTACTCCGGCCTCTCCCAATCAAATACATTGACTATCTACCCCGCCATTCTATTCGCTAGTGTCCCATTTCATCCCATCTAGAGACGGGACCCCAAGAAACTGATAAATGGACTTCTGAATATTCCATACCCGATTCATATCCCCATTTTCTGTCAATAGTATGCCAACAATATCCCCGTAAATAACCCCATGTTATCCCTGTTACACCTGCATTATAGTTTAAATCCCCGGTATCCATATGATCAAATAAACAATCATGAATCATCCGATTATATCCCAATTTGATCCCCATGATATGATGTTCGTGATGTCCCACAATCTCGTCCCAGACTAGCCATTCATCTCATGAAATAGCCATTAACCCCATGGAATATCCCACCAAGATGGCCCTGAAAAATCATATCATCTATCCTTATATTATATCATTATCATCTTATATCCTATTTTCAAGTCATATTTTTCTTAAAATAGCACTTGAAATCCCAGAAATCCCCTCCCCTCCCATGGCCCAATGGGGAAAAAAAGGAAGCGGAATCACATCATCCCATCACCTCGTCCGCTGTGCTGTGATGCATCACTGACTCGCTTCGCCAAGGACTTCAGCGTGACCGGGCTTTCTTTGGGCGCCTCGCCATGGGTTAAATTACCACCAAAAGATGGGGATTTGTTGTGGGATTGGTATAACTAACAATCTGATACAATCTGGTATATAGATGTATATAGATGTATATTAGATGTATATAGATGTATATAGTATATGGTTCTGTCTGAGAATGGACAAAAAACGGGTGATGTTTGTTGCTTCCTTGGAGACTCCATGGACTATGCAGGAGGTGAAACATGTCCCAATGGAGGGTTGACCACGGTAGACACAGCGCTTCGGGTGCTGGTGTTGGTGGGCAGCAAATAGCAGGTGAATATTAGGAAAAACACAAAACAATGATTCAACAGTGATTCAAACCAAGGAAGTGGATGGAAACGGTGGATACAGTAACAGTCACTGATAGTGTGATATTGTCAACAACCACACCTTACCAGCAAATGGACTGGCCATTCTTGGTTTCGCAACCCTGCTATCCAACCACTACTTCAGGGTTCCTTTATTGATATTTGGTTCTGCACGTTGCTGCCACTGATGCTGTACCTTAAGACAACTGCAGTTGGAATCAAAAACATGGCACTTGAGGGCCTATTATATTATATGGATTTGTCTCTGTATATGTTGGGGAGGCATGCCTTACACATACGTTATATACATATATGTATACATGTATATCCCAGTTTCAATGCTAATTTTGGCTATTTATCTGGCTGAACTGCAACCGTTCACTAACCTGAAATAGGCCAGTTCTGATACCCCAAATGGGGGTGATTCCCCCCACCTGGTCACCATCATTTCCGGTGAAACCGTGAAACCGTGGTATAGATGGTCCATGGAAATAGATGGTTTACCTATTAATAGCATGGTGATGTTCCATGGCTATGTTCATGAAGAACCAGATGGTATACCAACATATACCATAGAAAATTGTGGTTTTCCATGGTGACCTAAAAAAGTGTGGCCGCGAAGGGCAACCTGCAACCCGTGCAACAAAAGCTGCGCAGCTGCCTCAGCAGCTCGAACCTTCCCCAGTTGCGAAAGTTGGACCTGCGCAACTGTCAGTGGTCTGAAGACGGTTGGTTCTCTTTTTTTGCAGGTGTATATGTATGCGTGTAGATCTATATATATGTATATATATATATACATACATACATACATTACATTACATTACATTACATTACATTACATTACATTACATTACATACATTACATTACATACATTACATACATTACATTACATACATTACATACCATTACATACATTACATACCATTACATACATTACATTACATACCATACATTACATACCATACCATACATACCATACCATACATACCATACATTACATACCATACCATACCATACATACCATACATACCATACCATACATACCATACATACCATACATACCATACATACCATACATACCATACATACCATACATACCATACATACCATACATACCATACATACCATACATACCATACATACCATACATACCATACATACCATACATACCATACATACCATACATAACCATACATAACCATACATAACCATACATAACCATACATTACCATACATTACCATACATTACCATACATTACCATACATTACCATACATTACCATACATTACCATACATTACCATACATTACCATACATTACCATACATTACCATACATTACCATACATATTACCATACATATTACCATACATATTACCATACATTATACCATACATTATACCATACATTACACCATACATTACACCATACATTACCATACATTACCATACATTACCATACATTACCATACATTACCATACATTACCATACATTACCATACATTACCATGCATTATCATACATTACCATACATTACCATACATTACCATACATTACCATACATTACCATACATTACCATACATTACCATACATTACCATACATTACCATACATTACCATACATTACCATACATTACCATACATTACCATACATTCCCATACATTCCCATACATTCCCATACATTCCCATACATTCCCATACATTCCCATACATTCCCATACATTCCCATACATTCCCATACATTCCCATACATTCCCATACATTCCCATACATTCCCATACATTCCCATACATTCCCATACATACCCATACATTCCCATACATTCCCATACATTCCCATACATTCCCATACATTCCCATACATTCCCATACATTCCCATACATTCCCATACATTCCCATACATTCCCATACATTCCCATACATTCCCATACATTCCCATACATTCCCATACATTCCCATACATTCCCATACATACCCATACATTCCCATACATTACCATACATTACCATACATTACCATACATTGCCATACATTGCCATACATTGCCATACATTGCCATACATTGCCATACATTGCCATACATTGCCATACATTGCCATACATTGCCATACATTGCCATACATTGCCATACATTGCCATACATTGCCATACATTGCCATACATTGCCATACATTACATTACCATTACATTACATACCATTACATTACATACCATTACATTACATACCATTACATTACATACCATTACATTACATACCATTACATTACATACCATTACATTACATACCCATACCATTACATACCCATACCATTACATACCATTACATTACATACCATTACATTACATACCATTACATTACATACCATTACATTACATACCATTACATACAATTACATACCATTACATACCATTACATACCATTACATACCATTACATACCATTACATACCATTACATACCATTACATACCATTACATTACATACCATTACATTACATACCATTACATACCATTACATACCATTACATACCATTACATACCATTACATACCATTACATACCATTACATACCATTACATACCCTTACATACCATTACATACCATTACATACCATTACATACCATTACATACCATTACATACCATTACATACCATTACATACCATTACATACCATTACATACCATACCATACCATACCATACCATACCATTACATACCATTACATACCATTACATACCATTACATACCATTACATACCATTACATACCATTACATACCATTACATACCATCACATACCATCACATACCATCACATACCATCACATACCATCACATACCATCACATACCATCACATACCATCACATACCATCACATACCATTACATACCATTACATACCATTACATACCATTACATACCATTACATCCCATTACATACCATTACATACCATTACATACCATTACATACCATTACATACCATTACATACCATTACATACCATTACATACCATTACATACCATTACATACCATTGCATACCATTACATACCATTACATACCATTACATACCATTACATACCAGTACATACTATTACATACCATTACATACCATTACATACCATTACATACCATTACATACCATTACATACCATTACATACCATTACATACCATTACATACCATTACGTACCATTACATACCATTACATACCACTACATACCATTACATACCATTACATACCATTACAGTACATTACAT